AAGGCACAGCTCACACCAAAGTCCGGCCCAGTGGCCCCAGTCCGGCCCAGCACCTGGACAGGTGACCACAGGGGCTTCTCTCCCAGAAAAACCACTTAATCCCAGCTTGGGGTGAATGAACGGCCAAATTCAACACACATCAGACAGAACACAGCTCGTGTTTGGAAAGAACTTTATTYATTTATTTATTTAAAATCAGCAATTGTACAGATTCCCCGGCCACGCTCACAGCACGAGGTCCCCRCCAGGCATTAAATCAACCTCAACCCATTTAATTTGCTATTAGTTCTAGCTTAACCAGGCTTAAAATCTGCCTTGCGCTAAGAAACCTGGAAAAAACCCATCTGGAAAAAGCAAATCTGGAAATCTGGAAAAACCAATCTGGAAATCTGGAAAAAGCAAATCTGGAAATCTGGAAAAACCAATCTGGAAATCTGGAAAAAGCAAATCTGGAAATCTGGAAAAAATGAATCTGGAAAAAGCACAAATCATCCTTCAGCCACCGTGCTCACCGGCAGAGCGATTCCCGTCACCTTTGTCACCCCGCAGGGAAATGGGGTCAACAGCAGCATTTTCCAAATTTCAATCGTGGCAGGAAGAAAGAAAGAACCGCGATACCCGCGGGATCTGTCTAAAAGAATCTGAAAGCAGTTTTATTTATTTACCTTAAACACATTGTGAATTACACCCTGCAGGGGCAGCACAACCGCACCCCGAACCCCCAGAAAATGCTGCCCAGTTTAAAACCATCGCCTTAAAGCGCTGGTTTAAAGTTCTGGGTGAGTATTTACAGCCCGGGAGAGGCGTCAGGAGCTCCCGCAGCCCGGGAGGCTCTGGCTGCTCTCGTTACCCAAATCCCCCCGCACAAAGGAGCATTTGGGGGGTTAGGACAGAGCTGCCGCATTCTGCAGTGAGCTCCCTGCACAGCTGGGCTGAGCTGAGCTTAGCTGAGCCGAGCCGGGCTGAGCCAAGCCGGGCTCAGCCGGGCTCCCGGGGAAGGAATGCTTCAGTCGGGCCGAGCTGAGCTGAGCTGAGCCAAGCTGAGCTGAGCCGGGCTCCTAGAAGGAATGCTGCACAGTCGAGCTGAGCTGAGCCGAGCTTAGCTGAGCCAGGCCAGGCTCCAGGGTAGGAACAGCTTCAGTTGGGCTGAGCCGAGCTTAGCTGAGCCAGGCCAGGCTCCAGGGTAGGAACAGCTTCAGTCGGGCTGAGCCGAGCTGAGCTCCCAGAAGGAATGCTGCACAGCTGGACTGAGCTGAGCTGAGCTGAGCCAGGCTCCCGGGGTAGGAACAGCTGCACAGTTGGACAGAGCTGAGCTGAGCCGGGCTCCCAGGGTAGGAACAGCTTCCGTCGGGCTGAGCCGAGCTTAGCTGAGCCGAGCTGAGTAGGAACAGCTTCAGCCGGGCTCCAGCCCCGCAGGGATCACACGGCGATCACCAAAAGCGCTTTTGCAGCCTCGGAGCTGAGGTGACCCCGCTTTGCAGCCTCGGTGGCCCCGCTTTGGCTCGGGGTGACAGCGACGTTGTTCCCGCGGGTGCTGAGCTCAGCCGGGGATCTTGAGCCAGAACCAGCCCAGGAGCGGAGCTCAACAACAACAACAACAACAACAACAACAGGTTTTATTGCTTTCCAGGTGTGGTGCTGCTGAAGGCACTGCGGCACGGGCCGAGAGCTCGGAATGACTCGGGAAGGGACCGGGATTGGGACACCGGGGACGCGGCCCCCGCTCACATCCCCATCCGGATGCTCTGGATGATCTGGAAAATCGCTGGAAAAAAAAACAACGGGGGAGAGGGAGTGTGGGGGAACGGAGGGGAAAAACCGGGGGGAAACACCGGGAATGGAGGGGAAGAATCGGGGACAGGAGGGGCAAAACCGGGGAGCAAAACCGGGCAATGGAGGGGCAAAACCGGGGAATGGAGGGGTAAAACCGGGGAATGGAGGGGTAAAACCGGGGAATGGAGGGGAAACACCGGGGACAGGAGGGGAAGCACCGGGGACAGGAGGGGAAGAATCGGGGACGGGAGGGGAAGCACCGGAGGGGCAGCACTGGGAACGGAGGGACAGCACCGGGGAATGTGGGGCAGCAGCGGGGCCCGAAAAGCGGCGCTCACCTGATCCGCACACCACGAAGATGAAGAGCGCCAGCAGCCAGGGCCCGACCGACGCCTTCTCCTCCGGGGCCGTTCTCTGCGAGCGAGCGAGCACCGAGAGCAGCGCGGTCACGCTCGGCGCCACCGGGCCCGGCCCCGCCACCCCCGCCCATCCCCGCCCCGCGTACCGAGGTCTTGGCCACGTTGCCGCGCTGGGTGATGTTCTTGCTGTGTTTCTCGTTGGCCATGCGGATGCGCTGCTTGGCCACCATGTCCGCGCTCTGCTGGCCCCGCTCCGCTCCGGCCCGGCCCCAGCGCCGCTGCCGCGTCAGCACCGGGAGCGCGCGSGAGGGGCGGGGCCACGGGACAGGGGCGGGGCCAACCCGCGCACGCGCGCGTCAATCCTCGCACACGCGCCAATCCTCGCGCGCGCCACTCCGCATGCGCGCCAACCCGCACACGCGCGCGAATCCTCACGCGCGCCAATCCACGCTCGCGCCAATCCACGCGCGCGCCAATTCTCCCGCGCGCAATCCACACGCGCGCCAATCCGCGCACGCGCCAACCCTCCCGCGCGCTATTCCGCATGCGCGCGCCAACCCGCACCCGCCGCCCCGCCCCCCGGGCCCCGCCCACCGACGTGGCGCGCGCTGCGCCCGCCGCGCCGCGCCTGCACCGGAAGCGGAACCGCGAGCGGAAGCGGAAGCGGAAGCGCTGCCCCGCCCCCGCCCCCGGCCCAAGATGGCGCCGCCCACGCCGCTGCTCGCGGGTGTGTGGGGACGGGCCCGGGGCGATACCGGGAGATATCGGGAGTTACCGGGGGTTACCGGGGCTATACTGGGAGTTACCGGGAGTTACCGAGCTGATACCGGGAGTTACCGGGAGTTACCGGGCTGATACCGGGGCTGATCCCGGGAGTTACCGGGGGTTACCGGGGGTTACCGGGAGTTACCGGGGGTTACCGGGAGTTACCGAGCTGATCCCGGGAGTTACCGGGGGTTACCGGGAGTTACCGGGAGTTACCGAGCTGATACCGGGAGTTACCGGGAGTTACCGGGGGTTACCGGGGCTGACACCGGGAGTTACCGGGGGTTACCGGGAGTTACCGGGGGTTACCGGGAGTTACTGGGCTGATACCGGGAGTTACCGGGCCTATATCGGGAGTTACCGGGAATTACCGGGAGTTACCGGGGCTGATCCCGGGAGTTCCCGGGAGCTCCTGAGGCCGGGCTCGGTGTCCCCCCGTGAGGATTTACCGGCGGGGTACCGGGAGAACCCGCAGCGGTCGCTGCAGCTCCGTCCCTGCGGCTCCCCCGAGTTCCTGGGCTTTTCTGGGAATTTCCTTCCAAAAATCCCTCTTTTTCCTTTTTTTCCCTATTTAAACCATCCCTGCTAAATTTCCTTTTCTGCGTTTTTAAGCTCTAACCCCGGCTCTGTGGGGCTGCGTTGTTCAGGGTGGGTTTTGTGACCCCAATGTTGTCACATCGGGGCTCTGCCGCTTTTGGGGTCGCGTTTGGGGTGCGCTAAAAGGGTCCCTTTAGGGTGGGCTCTGTCGGGGCTGTGAMCCTGGAAATGCTGCAGGGCTGAGTCTCGGTTGTTTTCTGGAATTTTCTCATCAATCACGGGAATCTGTGCATGTTCAGGGCTCCAAAATGGGCAAAAGCTCTGCTTTGGGGGATTTTCTGTTTTTATGAAATGATTTATTTGTTCTGAAATGATTTATTTGTTTGTTCCTGCAGTGAGAGGCTCCGAGGGGCTCTACATGGTGAACGGGCCCCCCAATTTCACAGAGAGCACGGCGTTCCCGAGGTATCGATGTCATTGCACCAAAAAATGGTTTTATAAAGAGAAAAGGAGCTGGAATTGGGAAATGTGTGACTGTCAGAGATTTGGAAGGGTTKGCTCGTGCCAGGTGACAAAACCAGACAGGGACAGCACTCAGGGCTCCTCAGGGGCACAGCAGGAAAATCATCAATAAAAATTGTGTTCCTTTTTGGTTTTGGGGAAAAAAATCCCAAATTCTGGCACTGTTCAATACTCACAGGAAATTCCTTGTGTTCCTTTTTGGTTTTGGGGAAAAATTCCCTATTTTTGGCACTTTTGAATGCTCAGAAGCATGTTTTATTTCCGCAGGGACTCAGGGAAGAACTGCAGAGCCGTGGCTTTCAGCAGGGACGGCTCCCTCTTTGCCTGGTGCAACGGAGAGAGGTG